ATAAAAATTGCACAGCTTTTCTGCTATCGCCGCTCCCAGAGTTTCTGACTTTAATGCAGTGACCTACTGTATTGCATCAAACTAATTAATTTTCACTTTACAATGAAATGAAGGAGATTTTTATTGTTCTTATGCACGTGGTGACTATTGTTTCCATTTTCTAGCCAGGGTTTTTGTTTATTTATTCACGATCAACTGCTCGCAAGAACATTGGCACATTGTTGTATTTGTTCATTCCATTCTGTTGAGCTATACAAAGAGTAAATCTAAGCTTCTGAAAAAATTTTCTGATTCTAGCGAAATAATTTTGATTTGAGGGTGAGTGAAAATTATCTGCGCAATAGGGATAACAAAATTGTGCCATCCCCTGCACATGTTCAGTTCCAATCATTAATTGTCACTCGTGTATTGTTTTTTGCAATATTTAAGTATGGGAAATTACATAAATATTATAAATTATTTATAGTTTGCAAAGTTTCAAAATCCTGTAAACATCTTGCCAACTAGATGGTGACCAAAGTCTTCAAAACGTTTAATTCACAACCTATGATATCAAGTAATGTTTGTTTGTTCCAAAATGAACTTTCCAAATTTTCCAAAAATGTGTGCACCAATGTGAAGGTTATAAAGAAGTTGCTAACATTAACAGTGAGAATTGTCTTGTTTGTAGAATCATTTTACAAGGGGCATGGTAGGTACCGGTATATCATATTTAGTCTGAAATGATACTTTATATCAACAACTGTAACACTTATTTTGTGGCTTGTTAAACTGATGTTATGAATATGAAGATGATGTTTGTTTGTTTATGACAATGATTCAAATAAAGTGGTGCTAAAACAGTCAAGTTTTTTTTAGCAAAATATTTGTATGTGGTATGATAGTTGACTTTGTTGAAAACACACAGTGTTGAGTATTAGGAAAAAAACTAAAGGCACTCAGAATTACTGTAGTAAGAAGCATGTACAACAGCGTTGACATGGTTACCAACTGAATGTGCCAGCATCATGGCAAGCAGCAGTGCATGGATCCAGAATTGTTTTCCCCAGGTTTGATCATTTGTCAAATAAACCAGAAAACCAAATGAAATGAATATATTGATATATATTATATACAAGACTTCAGGCGGTTTGCCCAAGGACGTGCATTTTCTAGTGTCCTTGGTTTGCCAGAACGCAATGAGTCTCTCTTGACACAGTAACTTTGTGAAACATAGCAGGTACCTGTCTCAGGTCATTGTTATGGTGATTATCAATGTCTGTCTCCATACAAGCTACCAATCGTCATAGATGATAACCAATGTATTAAGTAGGGGGGCAAGGGGGATAGTTGGTACAGGTTACAGGGAATAAAAACGGTATTTTACGTTTTTACATGGAATGAAATGAAAGTTCCATTTACAGTAAAAATAGTGTTTTACACTCAGATAAAACATATTTCTAATTACATTTTACATATATTTGTGTTTATGAATCAAA